ATGAGCTTATATCTTTCAAAATGTCAATAGTTCACAAGATACAATGTCATTTCTTAATTATGTATCTAGAGATAGAGCATGTGTACTTTCTTATATATTGACGTTTTTAAAGATATAAGCTCATCCTGATGTTATACTCATCAAGACCTTTCATTTGAGTACCTATATCAATTTTTCATATATTTATATATTTTATATATATTATATATATGTATATATGAAAAATATATCAAAAATGCATGTGGGTACTCAAATGAAAGCTCTTGATGAGTGTAACATCGGGATGAGCTTATATCTTTAAAAATGTCAATAGTTAAGAAAATACAGTGCAATTCACTGCAGTCACATAGTGACTACAAGGTTGCTAGTTCAGAATAAATTGACTATAAAAAAGAACAAAACTACATAATAATCTATTATTTAGTTTTGTAATTTTTAACAATTAAAATTTAGGGTTATTTTTAACTTTGTTTAAAATTAAAACAAATGAATTACCCATGAAATAATAATTGCTAAATCATTAATTACTTAAGTAATAATTATTAGAAAATAAATTGATAAATCAAGTTAATATGGAAAATAAATAAATAATATCGATTAATTATTATTATAAAAACGTAAAATAGGCGTAAATGAAAAAAAAAATTATTTACGCAATCAATTGTAAAAATTTTAATTATTTATAAATAAATTTACCTTCGTCGGCGTACATGATTGATTTTTTTTAACTCTATTACAAGTAAATAATAATTAATAATGTAAAAATATTAACAATTTTATCAATTGCAGTCAACACAATAACAACTCCTGATAACAACCGCTAACTCGGCGGCCAATGTACGCATCTATGTTATTTGAGGTTATATTACTTCCAGTGTTGATCACTGGTGTCGCTCAGTTGATATTTTTAATTTTTTAGTAATATACATATTCAAATACCACGTTCCACCGAGCGCGGCCTTCGCGAGAAAGTAAGACGTTGCCGCGTGATGAGGTAAGCTGTTTAAAGTATATGTAAATAAAAAAGAAATTTAGTAAATGAAAAATTTATTTTTTAATTTAAACTAGAAGCAAAAAGAAGAAACAACTTTCGATCAATGTAATCTTAAAATCTTTGAAAGTTTTAAATTTTGACGATCTAGTGTTTTATCATAATATTCATAAATTGATGGAGAGTAAAGGCTAAAAATATAATGATAAAAAGTATTCATTAATCTTTTTTAATACATACAAAAAATACAAATTAAAAATTTAAGTTGATTACTTTAAATTTTATCATATTTTTACTGAATTTACAAATTTTATTTAGTTAAATTAATATGAAAAAAAAATTGTTTATTTAGTATAAATTGGACTTTTATAAAATAAACTTTTTTATAATAATTATGAATGATATTTGTTAAAATCAGCAGATATTTGACAGTTTTTAGGAATTTTTTAACAAATTAAATAAGTACTAAAAACGTATTGATAACACTAAAGTTAACAAGCATTAGAAATTTTCTTAGAATTTTATATCAAGAAAAACTATAAGTGTAATTTTTTAAAAATATTTTTTAGTTCTAATTTAATAAATAAAAAAATTAGAATAAACGTCGGCTAACTTTAGTATTATTTTTATATCACTGAAATTATTATAAAAAAAATTTAATAAAAAACTCTAGATGTAAAAATAAAAAAAAAACTACATGTAAAAATTTTTAAAAATTATTAGTTGAAATTTTTAAAAGCATGTTCATTAGTGTAATTGATTTGGTATAAGAATTTTCAAAAATTGACAATTGTCAGTTAACTTCAGTTATGATACTAAAATTACCCGACGTTCAAAAATTTTTGTATTTTTTTTTTTCAATAATTTAATTGCAAGAAAAAGATAACTAAAGCAAATTGCACGCATAATTTTTCAAACTTTCTACATGTGAAATTTTTTCTTTTAATTTTTTTGTAATAATTTTTTCAATGAAAAAAATTATAAAAATTTCCAGATGTTGGTTAATTTAATTGCACGCCTCATAGCGCGAAGCGCGTATTTTCATCTTTAATTTCATAAAATATTGGAACAAATTGACATTTATAGTTTTTTAAAATTCCTAAGTACATGTAAATTTTTTTTTTGGTATAATTTATCTGTTAAAGATTTCCTAAAAATAATTGAATGTTAACATGACTATCATTTAAATGGTGAGTTTTTTTAGTTGAAAAATTACTTGATAATTTTCAAATTTAATGACGATTAGCGATTGAAATAGATGAAGATGATTTATTCCACAGGTGTGAATCAAATTGGAACAAAAATTTTATTTATTGTTAAAAACTTTAAGGTTTTGCTTGGTTGTCTCTATCAGAAATTAGAAATAATTGTTAAAAAAATTATAAAAAAACTGTTTTTTTGTCGGCTGATTTTAATAATACTAATTAAATATTTTCAAAGTGGTTATAAATCCTTAAACGTGATATGTTATCTAAAAAATATTTATTTCCCCTCCTCTATATACTTTTTAAAGATTTTAAACAAAATACTATTAAAATGTAAATTTATCAATTAAATATATATTTATAAACAAAATGTGTATCAATCACAAAAATTAACACATTATTTAAATATTGTACACCAGTAACAAACAAAACTATTCATTTTTTAGCACTTTTACTCCACTCTCTGTTGGAAGGCTGTCGTCAGGATCATCATCTAGATTGTGTAACCAGTTGAAGATCATCATGTTTCTTTCATATTTTGTCAATTGTTTACCACGTTCACGTTCAACATCATTAACAGTAAGCGGATGATCATTATTAGTCTTGCGATTAACAATCGTCGATCCAGTAATGCTTGGAATAGTACCAGGCACTATAAGAGTAACTCCTGATGTTTGAGCAGCCGAAGCAGCTGCTTCCAGTCTGTCTAAATTAAATTCACTTTGAGAGAGTCTTTCAAGAGCTCGGTAAGTCGTCAATAATCTACGATAAAAAAGTTTATCATTTTTAATAAAATAATTTTATTTGTAATTTATAATTTTTTAAATAAAAATTAAATTACCTTCGGCGTATATAATTTTGGCGAACTTTTTTGTTAACAGACTTGACAAGATCAGCAGCTGTGAATGGTATAGGCTGCGGATGCAATGACGATGAAATTTGTTGAGAAACACCTCCATGAGGACTGGGTAATTGTGATGTACTGGCAATGTCACCAACTGCTACCCAAGTGCTGCAAGATCTGGATGCATGATCTAGACGAGCCTGTTCCAATAAAAATCCATCGCGGTGTGCTGAATCTAAAGCCAACGCCGAAACTGCAGAGCGTAGTGCCTGAGGACAGGATGCTTCTGGACTGGGTAACTGTGATACGTCGCTTGCACTGAAACTTTTTTGTAGGCCAAGGGCTGATGAAAGCGCAGCGCAACTACGGATTAATTCTGTTTCTTCTTCAAACCACAATATTTCAGGAATGTCTGCTGGCCTACAAAATACCCGTTTTTAGATCATCTATATTATTTAGAGAATAAGAAAAATTTTGTGTTCAGGATAATCATATGATAAAATCGGTTTTTCTAGTGAAATTTAGTCTCATTGCAAAGGTCTTGACTTGAATTTGTGCCTTTTCAAGGTTTCATTTCATTCTCACCGATAGTCAATTTATTATGATAAGTATTTAGGCTACATTCGAAAATGCTCTATATCTAGATACATAATTAAGAAATGACTTTGTATCTTGTGAATTATTGACACTTTTAAAGATATAAGCTCATCCCGATGTTGCACTCGTCGAGACCTTTCATTTGAGTACCCACATCAATTTTTCATATATATATATATATATATATATATATATGAATATATGAAAAATATATCAAAAATGCATGTGGGTACTCAAATAAAAGCTCTTGATGAGTGTAACATCGGGATGAGCTTATATCTTAAAAAATGTCAATAATTAAGAAATTACCTTGTAACTTGTGAACTATTGACATTTTTTAAGATATAAACTCATTTCGATGTTACACTCATCAATACCTTTCATTTGAGTACCCACATCAATTTTTCATATATTTATATATATTATATATATGTATATATGAAATATATATTAAAAATGCATGTGGGTACTCAAATGAAAGATTTTGATGAGTATAACATCAGGATGAGCTTATATCTTTAAAAATGTAAATAGTTACAAAAGTACAGTGCAATTTAACAAAAGTCATTATTTAATAAAGCAAAATTTTATTCATTTATAGTTCACAAGTCACGGCAGTCACATAGTGACTGCAAGGTTATTAGTAATTGATTATTTTATTACTATTATCTTTTTTGGTATTTATCGGTGATCTTACCGGTTTCCTTGACTATCGCGAGCATCAGGATTTGGTGATGATCCACGTCCAGATAAATGTGCATCACTGTAAGATTTGAAAGTAGTTAACCGATTACTGCTTTTAGCATTACTTGCTATTGACGAAACGCTAAATAGTGATAAATCTGTTGTGACACTCTCGTGACTTGGCGAACGTAGAATACGATAACTTGATGGTTGAATAACTAAAGTTCCTCCTGGTTGAGATGGAACTGGTGATACGGACAGATGTTCGATCTCAGACATTTTAATTTCCTTGATTTTTCTTTTATTAATTATTGGAGACTGTTCCTGTTTATTTACACTAGTTTCACGTCATCGTACTCTTCAAATACTTATCATGCAACTTGTTTGAATACTTTTTGTTAAACAGTTCAAGAATAATGAATTCACTTTTTATAGTTTAATAGTTGTAAAAATTTGATAGTACTGCTGATGAATAATCAAAATATTAATTTCAGTATTGATTACTTCTTAATTACTTCTTAATTTTAATCTGATCATATCAATCTCTGTAATTTGGATCCAATTTTTTCAGTCGTTTTTTGTATCATTGAATTAGTTCTGAAATAAAAAAGTCATGAAATCATTAATTAGGTAAATTATTGGGTAGTTAATAAAGTTTTTGTACTAACATCTTTTATAGAAAACTTACTACAACTATTTTTTAAGCGTTTTAAGTTAGAGAATTTATATAATAATAGTATGATGAAAATATTAAAATATTTAAAAAAAAATTCAATTTGTTGGAAATTATAGCTGAAAAATTAACTATTGATGTATAGAAATATTTAATAATTAGTGATTGATTGATTGATTGGTGATGAAAAGCGTTTGTTGACTTTTCTTTCAGTAGAGTTTAAAATAAAAGAGAGCTATAAATTATGAAAGCTATTTATAAATATTGAATGTGTATTGAGAAAGGTATTGTGATAGAAATAAGTGATGAGTGAATGAAATAGAGAGTGACTGAGTAAAAGTGTAGAAAAAACTCTTCAGTCATAAATATTGACTGAAGATGAATTAACAATAGAATTTTAAATTACATTTAATTTTGTAATAATTTCAAGGTAAAGTTAAGAAATTTGATATTTTTATCATAAAATTATAATTTAAAAATTTTTTTTTTAATTATTTGCTTTAATCCATTAGATCTTGAATATTATAGATAAACTTTTGTAATTAATTTAAAATTTATTAAAAAAAAAAAATTGTGTAAAATTGTAAAAAATTCTTATATTCAAATTTATATTTTTTTTGTATCTATTATAATTACATTCCAAATTTAAGAAAAAAGATTTTTTTAAATTTTAAATTTTATATCTTCATCATTTCGGCTGCCCAATTTTAAAACACAGTAACTGCAAAATTTTTATACCTAATTTTTTTTAGTATTGCTGCATTTCTTATAAATTTTTAGACCTTAATTTCAAGTATTTTTTCTTAAAAATATTTATATTCGAGTATCTTCTATTTATAAATGAAATTTTTTAACAATTTGGCGCGCAAACTTTTTTTTTAATAAGAAAAATTTTTTTAAATCTTTAAATTGTCCGTTACTGTAATTTGAAATTGGGCAGCTGATTTATACGTGTACTTTATTATAATATTTTTCTTGTATACTTTTGCCATTTAGCTATACTGCTTTTGCCTTGAAATTAATTAGTGAATAAATGTAAAATCTTTGAAAATTTTTAAAATCTACTCAACCGGTCCAGCCCAAATTTTTTTTGAATTCTAAATTGAGTGAATCATCCAAATACCACACAGTTACTTACAGACACAATCGGAAGTTTCTAAACGAATACAACAAAATGTTTTGTTATTACCTACTGTCACTAACTTATTAGATACTCGGTTATTGACACTATAAGCACAGAAGTAAAAAGTTATTGATGATTTTTTATCTTAGTATCTACCTAATGGACTGCCCGTGCAAAAAAAAAATTCTGATTCAAAATGAATTTAAGATTGAAATTCATATTTTGACACAAATGTGAATTAGTTTTGAGATCAATCCAAATTTGAAATTGATTTGTAAATAGAAATTAGCACGTCTGTAGAACTTTCGATCCTGTTTCAGAATTTTAATAAAGACTTAAAAATATTTAGGATTAATTTTATGTATAAAATATTCTTAAGTCTTTATTAAAATTCTAAAACAGGATCGAAAGTTCTACAGACGTGCTAATTTCTATCTACAAATGAATTTCAAATTTAGATTGATCTCTAAACAAATTCATATTTGTGTCGAAATATGAATTTCAATCTTAAATTCATTTTTGATCAGAATTTTTTTTGCAAGGGTGATTGAAATATTCATGCTTCATAGCAATTAAAAGAAGACCGATAAGGACTTAATTTAAATTTTTGGACCGACAGATCGAAATAACACGCACCTTAGACACGTGCGCACGCGTAGAAAACCTGAAATAGACATAATTATGTGTTTAGAACTTCAAAACGTCGTTTTCTATTGAAATTTAAAATTTGATAATCAGGAGAGTCAGAAGAGTCTATAAAGAAGTTCATAAAATTCAAGAAGCTAACAAATAACCTTTGAACGGAAGTAAAATATAACATTGCGTGCTTTTAAATTAAAGAGAAATGTACTATAACCAGAACTACGCGCTTCACGATTATCTAAACGGAAGTTATAAAAAATTCTTACTACAAACTGTACGATCATTCATGCAAAAATGTTGAAGTTATTCTAAAGAAAACAAGTCTGTCAAAACAACTGTTTACGATCGCGAATCCGTAACAATAATTACGTAACTTTTTATTTTGATACTTTATTTTTTATTCAATCAAACTTCAAGGTCCTGCTATTATTATTCCGTGAAAGTACATAAGATCTATAATTTTAAATAATAAATTTCTAATGTAGCGTATGTGCTTTTACGTTTTTGAATAAAGCTTATACAATTATAACACACAAAGTATATTGAATACCGGTATTATTAAAGTATGTATTTATTTATGAGAACATATTGTCAATATGTCAGAAAAGTTACTCTTTGGCCGGTTATTATATATTATTGATATAACTTTTTAAAATTGCTAATATAAAGTAATCTATTACTTGATAAATAATCAATACTTTAATATCCAAAGTTAAAATGTAGTTTTTCTGTTTTAGAATTAATAGAGCGCAATATGTTGTATTGCTTCAATTAAATTCACTGGATCTTATTATTATACGAGTCAATATATACTGAATAGTTGCGCATAAAAATTGTTTGAACAATTAATACCTTTTACATGATTTAAAAAAAAAAAAAATAAGAAATAAAATTGAAGTTAAATTTGTGAGTTGTAATGCAAAAACAGAATTCGGTCACTTGTGTGTTGACGTCATTTGCGAAAAGCATGCCGCACCAATGCACTAGATTTTTATTATGATAACTAGCCTAATCAATGGATATTTTTTTTTAATTATTTGAAACTAAAGATCACTTATTGATAATACATGCTGCTAAATTATAGATTTTCTAAAGTTATGAAAAAAGTATTAATTTTGGTGTTTTTGGTAATTAATGTGACCTAGCAAAGTATTGGTGAAGTTTTCACGGCTGAAAGGAATTAGGAAAACTAGTGAGATGAAATTTAGTAAGAAGCAATAGATATAATACCTTATTGGGTGCAATGGCCGAGAAACTTGAGGCTTGATATGGTAGAAGTAGAACACGAATATGTCTCCGTATTCAGAATAGTGAATGAATGGCGATTATTTCCGGTATGAGGCTGCTGTGGGAAAAGTCGTCACTGCACAGGCGTCGATCAATAGGGGCGAGGGAGGACTAAGGGTACATTACTCGAGATAGTACCCGGGAAAAATAATTTAGATCTAAGGCATACTTTATCTTAGATTCTGATTAGATTCCTATTTTTCTTAATCTTTATTTACTGAATTTTCACCTTTTTGATCAGGAAAAACAGAAGAAAAAATTGAACCGTACAAATGTAAAGTCTACTTTTTGAATTGCAATTGTTTAAAAGTTTAGGTCATTAGCACTAACGTAAAGTGAATCGAACTTAAAGTTTCTGAGTTTTTCAATACTTTTCTCCTCGACCTTCCCTATTTTCTTTATTGCCATTATAATCAGCTATTTTTCTTCTTTCAAAGCCGATTTTATCAGAAGCTTAATGGATCACACTTTGTAGAGAAAAATTCTATTCAGCCCGGATTGGGGTTCGAACCCACTTCTGGTTGGTAATCGTGTTTGAGTGTTCGATAGTAACTTATTTAAAGGGATAGACATTGAAGTTAAAGATTACTTTTTGCAACTTGGACAATTTTCCTTGGTATTTTGGTTTTTTGGCTCGTTGAATAATCATCAATCTATAATTAAATTTTTTTTTAAATATCAATAGTTTAGACAAAAAAAATCGTTCAATCATAGAATTTTTTGTAGTTTGAATTATTTTTAAACTACACAGTAAAAAATATTGTATAAAATCAACAAAATTTCTGGGTTAAATACGGTCCACACAAAATTAGTGTTAAAATTCAACCCACTTTGAGTTAAAATAACACTAATTTTGTGTGGACCGTATTTAACACAATATATTAAGCTATATAGATGGAAATTTAAATTAAAAGAAAATTTTTATTTTAAATCAAGTAATTATTTTTTTATTATACAGAAACACACCTCGGTCATTTCAGTAACTTAATTAATTATTATTATTATGGTGTTTTAGGTAATAATTATTTTAAGCATTTTTTAGCAAGTATAAACATTTATTAATATTATTATTTGCAGTAAGTTAATTAGCTAATAAGTTATAAAATTCTAAGGCAAGAAAAAATTTTTTCTATGTTATTCAAATAGGACAGATAACATTTTGAACAATGTTTTTACTAAATTTTTATTGAAATCTAATAATTGTATTTGTTTTTATGGCACAACTTTTGGAAAATTTTCTTTTTTTTTCAACTCAGCTATTTAATTTTTATTTATCTTTTTCCGATTGTTAGTTTTTACTTCTCAATTTTTATTGTTCTTTTCTTTATTTTCAGATTTAATTTTTCAATTTTTATTTTTATCTTTGCTTATTTTTATTTTTCCTATCTCGATTTTCTATTATATATTCTAGTTTTTCTTTTCCGTTCAGTAAGTTTTCTTTAAATTAATTCTGAACGCGACAACTTATCAAATTTCTATAAGATACATCTGAAAAATAAAGTAAAATTATTAAACTCAAATAATTTCATCCTACAAAAGATGGCTCATTCTAATTTATTACCACTATAAAATAGTATATATTATTTGTGCAATCATTTGTTGCTTAATATCCTATTAAATTGTCAAACAGGTAATAAGCTGTTGCAATAAACACTTCATTAAATTTCATAAAATCATTTTCCTTTTATAAATTGACTAAAGTAGTTCATACACTTCACCAATAAAAACAAAAAAAATCGCCGAGTCAGTAGAGACTGTCGCAACTTGAAGTTATTTCCAAACTCCAGACTTAGTGTCAGAAAAATAAACGGATGATCTAATATTGGAAGTCTGAGAATGTAAATAAAAAAAGAGCGATTTGCTTTGAAGGGATTTTAGATTCTGGAATTGGAATGAATGGAATATTCGAATTGCTTTTCAAGAACTTAAGCATATTTTTTAGGTTTCAGAATTTTAAAATTTAATACAGACAAATTAGCTTAAAAGAAAGGCATTAAAGTATTCAAAAAAGAATCTTTAATTTTTTGTTAAATTCACTGATTCTCGTCCACTTCTCTAGACTTAAAATTCAGTTGAAATATTTTGTTTACCAAACAGCTCTAAAAACAAAAAATAAAAATTAATTTATTTGCTGATTAATGTACGACCCATTCCATGTCAAATCGAATAATCGTTGAAATTGACCCCTTTCAATTTAGATAAACTTTGGTCAGAAGTTTTTTTTTTATCATATAACGAAGTTCTGCCAAAGGAAAAAAATTAAAAAATTTTTTTTCAAAAGATATGCAAATTCAAAATTTCGCAATTTTTACAGTTTTTCAATTTTGTTTTTGTAATATTTCGAACACTATTATGGATACAGGAATGGCCTTTAGTTTGTTTGAAAAGGGAAACTTGGGGTTATTGAAAAAAAAAAATTTGAAATGTGCTAAATTTGTCAAATTTTGAAAATCGTCAAAAATGACGATCAATATTAAAGTTTTGGCTTAATTTTTTTTGTATAAGATAAAAGACCCAGTTATTGACACTGAACTAGTTATTGACACTTGGAATTTTATTTTAATTAAATAAAACAAATCGACTCTAATAAATTAATAAATATAATTTTTGGATAGTTGATTTTTTGAGAACATTTTATTTCTTTAATTAAAATAAAATTGCAAGTGTCAATCAACTAGGCCAGTGTCAATAACTGGGTCTATTACCTTACTTTGTACTGATTTTAAAAGATCCTAAAATTTTTAGAAGGGTGTTTTTTTTTTGTCCAAAATTTATTCAAATCGAAACATGTCGATTTGACATGGAATGACCCATATGTATGTATTGAAGAAAAAGTCGAATGAAATTTTGAATCTGTAGGAGTTAAATTTTGAAAATTTTAATTTTTTACAATTAAAACCTTCGCAATTTTTTCTAAGGATTAAATTTCGTAAAATCTGTTAGCTGATTTTTAAATATCATTACCAGAAGGAATATTTTAGTTAAATTTCAAATCTTTACATCTTAAACTAGAGATCTCATAATGAGTAAAAAAATAAATCTAGATTCTTATTTTATTAAATAATTTCCATTAATTAAAATAAACTCTTATTTTATTAAAAAATTTTTATACAAAAAAAAATTAAGTCTACAAAAGCGTACATTGAGATAAATTGACAATTTAAATAAAGAGATGTTAGTTTTTATAAGCGTCATGGCGTGCTATATCATCTCTTCTTAATTTTCGTCGTGATGATCGTCATCAGCAGCGCTATTAGTAACAACAGACTCGCCGTTTCGAGTTCATCGCTTAGTTTTAGTTATAGTTTATTCAGTGACGGTGTCTCTCGCATTGCGGTTGCTGCTAATTTTTTGAGTGTATATTTGGTTCTGCTGAGATTATACGCAAAATAAAAGCATAGTGATTCAACGAATTCATATTTTGTAGAGTCACTTAATCTCATTGGTAAGATTATCACATTTCAAGTAATTATTTACTCAATGTGAGCAAAAAAATACACAATTAAGCAATTACTAGTTACATTACGTCAAGTCTTTGTGTACAGGAACACGTAATTCACCTCTATTTTTAGTTAGACGTTTTTATGTTTTTTTTTTTTTTCTATCGTTCGTAATTATATTTATAGTATAAAAGGTTCAATGTCCGTTTGATATTTGCTTTTTCTTCATAAAATTTACTTAAAATATTCAAAAATATTTTCTTTGTAGTCTCACAGCACAAACTTAAATTAAAAAAAATTTTTGACGATAATTTATTTTATAAATAAAAATAAAATGTAATGCAATTAAATGTTTTCACTATCTCATGTTTTAATTAGTGTAAAATACATAGTACAAGGCATAACGACTGACTCAATTATCTGTAATGAAATAAGTACTTAGTAAAATCCATTTTAAAAATAATAAAACAATTTTTTGCAGTCGTTAAGCATTTTTAAGCGAGTAGTTAATAATTTTTTCCCGATTTATTTGAATTTAATAACATAAGTTGGGCACCGCCGGAGGGTGCGGCCAATTGGCCACAGCTATGAATAGCTTTGTGATGTTAAGTTGCAGTTCAACATTAACCGTATAAGAGGAAAAGGGAAACGTATAATATCAAATTGTACGAGAGTGATAGAGTTAAATAGAAAGAGGAAGAAAGTGATAGTTTTAATGCTGCAAATAATTGTTTGATGTTCCCACTCAAACCGAGCGCCTGAGTATTTTCGCCGTGTAGCTTCGTGTATCAATTAACATCCATGTGATTTATCCGCGTACATTCAATGTTTATTTTTATTATTAGGTGCACTTCTATATACGGTGCTATCCATGGGTTAGTTATTTTCTTTATTTGATTTGAACAAGCAAAATCGTCGGAAATTGAGACTTTGGGTTATTAAATTTCTGTGCTTGAGTCTTTTTTTAGGTTTATCTTATTCTTGATATAATTTTCTGATGTGTGGGATGCCTGGGAAAAATATACCATTGGGCTCTAATCTACATATATTGATAAAAAATATTGTTATAACTTTGAAGGTGATTTAAATTTCGCGCTCATAAAAAATTTATTTAATTAAATTGAGAGAAAAAATTTTTAACCAAGAATATAATTTTTAAGAGTTTGATTATTTTGAATCAAGTACCCAGTCAAAAATTTTGCGTCAAAAAATTTTGTGTTAAAAAATTTTTATGTTAAATATTTAACACTTTTTTGTGTTGCAAAATTTTTTGCTGTGTAGAAAAATCCTTTAATTAAAAAAAAAACTTAGTTCAAGAATTTTTTCATTTAACCCAAGATGGTCAAATTCTTTAAAATGATTTTTTGGTTCAAGAATTTTTCTCTTAAATCTAGTTAATTTTTTTTTTATCAATGTGATTGTAAGAATTTTCTTATTGGAAGTTTTTCAAATTCAATTACTACACGCAAAAAATAAAAATGTAAAATTACATTATAAATAGTAATAAGCGTCGCTTCGTATAAAAAACTACACTGAAAAAAAAAATTAACTTGATTCAAGAGGAAAATTCTTGAATCAAGAAAATAATTTTAAAGAGGGTCATTCTCTAAAATCAAGACGAAAAATTCTTGAATTAAGTTAAATTTACTTAAATCAAGTAAAAATTTTTTAGTTTAAGAATTTTTTTACTCAAATCAAGAAGATGAAGTTCTTCAAAATTACACAGTAAAAAATTTTGCGTCATTGCGTCAAAAAATTTTGTTAAAAATTTTTGTGTTAAATATTTAACACTTTTATGTGTAAATTTAACATTAATTGTGTTAAATTAACACAGAAAAATGTTAAATTAACACAAAAAAGTGTCAAATATTTAACATAAAAATTTTTAACACAAAATTTTTTGACGCAAAATTTTTTTACTGTGTAGAAAAATTGCAGTTTGAAATAACATATTTGTAAATTCAAACTTTGAATGTTAATTTTCAGAGCTTTCAATGTAATATTTACATTTTAAAATATCTGTAATCATTCTTATAAAATCTGTAATAATTACAATTTGAAACTGTAATTTTTCCAGTTTTCTATACGGAGCGCCACGTTACATTATATAATCTAATTTTTCCCTTTTTCTTTTTTCCGTGTAGTAAGAAATAGAAGACCATATTTTTTATATTTTGGTACAAAATTAACTTTACAACTAATCATAAATTTTAAATTATCGGAAAATAGTATAATAATAAAATAATTAAGCGGGTCATTAAGTGCAAAAGCGCCATCAAATCCACAGCATGGCCTGATAAGGAAGCGCACGAACATTCTTAAAATTATTACGTGACACTTTGTTATTTTAAAGAAACCATGTAAGATAGTAATTAACTTATAAATAGTTTTCGAATAGAGTTTTCCATTGCGCGGAATTCGCCGTTTGTTGTTCTACAGTACTGTCCCACAGAAGTACCGTTTTTAGTGTCGTTGCAATTCTCTCACAATGTGCCGAGTGTCGAGATTTTTTCTTTAATCTTCATTCTTGTTTTATATTTTTAATTAAAAAAATATTTAACATTAAAAAGCCTGAAAAAATTCTAGATAAATTACTAACTAAAACAAAAAAAATTTATAATTTTCCTAACAAGTGTTACAAAATTGAAAAAATTACGAAAAATATGTTTAATTATTAAATTTATAAGGAAATTTCAAGAAAGTAATTTTAGAGTAAGCTATAATTTGATTATTTTGTTGTATTTTTAGATAACAGAAGGAAGATGAATATTGTTTCGAGAGGCACCGTCACAACGATGGAAGTAAATAAAGGAAGCCGTTCAACTAAAAACGTTTCACCGCGGGTAGAATCGAACCCCGTGGCAAGAAAGCGGCGAATGGACGAGCTGCCATTATCTAAAATTCCGAAAGCACCTCGAAGAGACTCGAAAGATGATGAATGTACTGTGTCGTCTAACTCAGTGTCTTTAAAAGAGTTGACCGGTACATCATCTACCGATATGCTGACAGACTCGCGTTGCGCTGTAAATAATCGAGAGATTTCTTCATCCGCGATTACTACTGTTGATGATGATGATGATGATGATGATGATGAAGAAAATTTACAAAAAGACAGTAGAGATTCGATAATTGTTAAGAATAAGCCACCCATACATCCAGATATACCTCACAAACGATTAATAAGTGTTAATCGTCGAGATGATTCAACTAGGCTTAGAAAAACAATTCAGTGGCTCGAAGAAGGTGCCAGAAAATTAAGGGAAGATCTTGCTGATGCCAGAGCTGAGCTTCATGAAGAAAAAAAGTCTGCTAAAATGGCAAGAAGAGATATTGAAAAAGCTGTTAAGAAAGCTCGTAATCAAGAAGCTAAAAAGTATCAAAATATTATCGCCGATTTAAGAGCAAGGTAATTTTTTTTTAGTAGATTTCATAAAAATCTAATTATTGTATTTGTCCTCATGACGTAACTTTTCAAAAATTTTACAAGGCGTAGTGTCAAAAATTTTTCAGGACGTTCATAGACAAGAAAAAGACACCAATAGGTTATATGGACTGATAAAAAAATTAACTTGACTCAAGAGCCAAAATCTTGAACCAAGAATACCATTTTGAAGGAAATGTTTTTCTTGAGTCAAAAAAGTAAATTTTTGAGTCAAGAAATTATTCTTGATTTAAATTAAGTAAATTTATCTTGTCTCAAAAATTTATTCTCTTAACTCAAGAAAATGATTTTTCTCCCCTCCGTGCGGAAAGCGTCAATTTTCTGCTCGCTGCGCTAAACGAAAATGCCGCTTTCCGCCTCCGTCGAGGAGAAAAATAGTATTCTCACCACGGGCAGGAAATAAGAAATGTCTCAGATTACATGTAATTGTTGACCGAGGCGAAGCCGAGGTCGACAAACATGTGATCTGAGGCTTTCTTATTTTCCTGCCCTAGATAAGAAAAATACTATTCTTGAAAATGGTATTCTTGGATCAAGATTTTGGCTTTTGAATCAAATTAATTTTTTTATACTAAGAAATATTTCTTCAATCCTAAGAAATATTTTTTAAACACTAAGAAAGGATCATTTCATCATTTATGTTTAAGAAATGATTTCTTAAATACAAAGAAATTTTCTTAAATGCTAAGAAATCCTTCTATCGGTGTAATATTTCAAAATTTAGTGCCGCAAAGACTATTTAAAAAATTTTTGCGTCTAGAGGATACTTATGAGTATAAATACTCAAAATTTCAAAAAAACTTTAAGAAAATGGTTTTTTCTCGGAACGTTACTAAAAGATCCTAATGAAACTCAAGATACTTTCTTTAGGGGACATCCATTAATTACGTGAGCTATTTTTCGATCAGTTTAAACTCCTCCCCCCCTTAGGTGAGATTTAGTGAGATTTGTCTGGACCCCCCCCCCCCACCCCTTACGTGAGATTGACGCTAAAAATATTTTAAATTAAAATTATTTTTATTATTCGGGAGAATAATAAACCATTCAAGTATACTATAGTTAATTTATTTTAATTAAATGTAATTCAAAGCAAAAAAAAACATAAAAACAACACTTTTTTTTAATTTTTACTCAATCCATGGAGACTCATGTCCTTTTTTTATACATACATATTATAATTTATATTATAATTATAATGTTAAAGAAATCCACCATTAGCTCTGAGAAGAGCTTGTTTAAATCATCAGCGTAAATGATTTTAATAGACATAAAATTTATTTTAGCGGGCAAAATAAACACTCAAAATAATTTTTTTTTTAATGTCTGTAATATTTTATATTTTTTGAAGTTGAGGTGAGATTTTTTATTATCCCCCCCCTCGGCTTAGATGAGATTTGGTGAGATTTCATTGGACCCCTCCCCCCTAATTCTGAGCTCACGTAATTAATGGATGTCCCCTTACAGACGATTACAAAGGTCAAGTTCGAATATGAGCTCAATCGGTCAATTAATTTAGAAATTGGAGCATTTAAAAATTTTGAAAATTAAATAATTTTATACTCTCACTATTGGATTATTCCCTTCATTAAAAAGTTGATGTGACGTGTTCAATGTTGTCGCTTTTCGTTGCTATAGTGACCTCCTTACCAACGGTTATCATAGCAACGGTCACCATAGCAACGGTCACCATAGCAACGGTTAAAGATTAAAGAGTAAAATTTATAAAAATATTGATTAATTAAATTGTCGATAATAAACATTTTGACAGAAGCGCGCAAAGCGCGTTCGATTTTCTAGTATAAGAAATTTTACTTTTGCAGTTGTTTTGTGCACAGAAATGAAATAGAATGAAATCTACTTCCATTTCGGATGTCGAATGGCCTTCTTTCTTTTTTACTTTTCAATTAGTTTCATTTAATTCTAATAATTTTTTGTGCGATAATTACTTAAGTTGACTCAGTTATTGTTTGTCAAATTTTTACCTATGTCTCGAGCTAAAAACATAGCCTTCGTTGAATAATGACTGACTTAGTCTTCGTGTTGCGTAAATATCTTTTATAAGTATTCATACAGCTTTTAAATGTTTATTTATATTTTTTACAGATTAACTAAAAATCCCTTTCAAGTGTCATTGGATAATTCTACTAGTTTACAAAGCGAGCAATCAAAAGATGATAATCAGAGATGTGAAATATTAGTTGCACGAAAACGTCGTGCGGAGCTTAATCAAACGATTGAAAATCTCAATTCAGATTCATCAGACTCTGATGATTGTACGAAAAGAAAACGAAAATATTCGAATGAGGCTGAACTACGTACGATTGAATGCGAGATTCGAAATTCACAAATGGTGAATGAGGAACTTGAACAAAACTTACAGGTAAAAAAATTTTTATTTAGACAAAGAAATCTTAAATTTAGAATCGAGTATTTTATCTGATCACATTAGTCATGTAAAATTCTATTAACTTAAAGTCAACCGCTTTTGAGTTTGTCGGGGAATTCACACCCCGTATAGCATGTTTCTTTATTTATTTTTTTTTACATCTTTTTTCGTGTACATCTTTCGCTTTCTTACAAAAACTTTCCACTCTTATGCTTTTTTCTGTTCACTTTTTCGCGGCATATGCAGTGCGAAAAAAAGAAAGTTGGTAAATTTAAATGTACACGCCCATTCATGTAATGACATGAAAGAAGTTATCGATTATCGAGAAATTTACATTTTTACATTTTTTTTTAAATTATCAACGAAAATTATCTATTAAATTTTGATTATTGAAAAAATTTTCAAAATTCTTCAAATAATTTTCATTATTAAGAGAATAAGCAAAATTTTGTGTCTAGAATATTCATATAATAAAATCGGTTTCTTTAGTGAAATTTAGTGTCATTGCAAAGGTCTTGATTTAAATTTGTGCCTTTTCAAGGTTTCAGATCATTCTCACCGATAGTTAATTTATTATGATCAGTATTTACGCTGCATTCGAAAATGCTCTATCTCTAGATACATAATTAAGAAATGACCTTGTATCTCGTGAACTATTGACATTTTTAAAGAGATAAGCTCATCTTGATGTTATACTCATCAAGACCTTTCATTTAAGTACCCACATCAATTTTTCATATATTTATATATATTATATATATGTATATATGAAAAATATATCAAAATGCATGTGGGTACTCAAATGAAAGCTCTTGATGAGTGTAACACCGGGATGAGCTTATATCTTTAAAAATGTCAATAATTAAGAAATGACATTGTATCTTGTCAACTACTGACATTTTTAAAGATATAAGCTCATCCCGATGTTACACTCATCAAGACCTTT